AAAAATTTGTTATTACTTCATTGTTATACCTTCAAAAATTTGTTATTACTTCATTGTTATACCTTCAAAAATTTGTTATTACTTCATTGTTATACTTTCAAAAATTTGTTATTACTTTATTGTTATACCTTCAAAAATTTGTTATTACTTCATTGTTATACTTTCAAAAATTTGTTATTACTTTATTGTTATACCTTCAAAAATTTGCTATTACTTTATTGTTATACCTTCAAAAATTTGTTATTACTACATTGTTATGCCTTCAAAAATTTGTTATTACTACATTGTTATGCCTTCAAAAATTTGTTATTACTTCATTGTTATACTTTCAAAAATTTCTTATTACTTCATTGTTATACTTTCAAAAATAATTTTCCAGGTAATGATTGGATTCGAGCTTTTATAAAAAGAAATCCAGAACTCACAGTAAGATTTGCAAGCAACATAAAGCCAAAGAGAGCAGAAATAGAAATGGCTGTGATAGATAACTACTTAATACAGCTATCAAATGAAATAAGTAATATATCACCTGATAATATATGGAATTATGATGAAACCAATCTCAGTGATGATCCAGGTAAAAAAAAAATTAACAAAGCGTGGATGTAAGTGTCCTGAACATGTCATTAGTTCTACTAAGACCTCATTCTCTGTAATATTTTGTGGTAATGCTAATGGTGAATTGCTACCACCATATGTTGTTTACAAAGCGGAATCATTATGGAATACATGGATGAAACAGGGGCCACTAAAAGCACGTTATAACAGATCAAAAAGTATTTGGTTTGACTCATGTTTTAAAGACTGGTTTTTCTCTTTACTTCTTGCAAGACTTAAAAAGGCTCAAGGAACAAGTGTCATTTATGACACTTCATTTATGTGAATGGAAGGAGAAAAGGAAAAAAAAGGAGAGTTGCTTCTTTTCCTAAAGACGAATTTCCTAGGCTTTTAGACTGTTAAATTACCAACTTAAATGAACTTGGTAATGGCAACCCTAGAGCTAATTTTTGCAAAACTGGAATTTTCCATTAGGCATGTCATAATTGCTTTAACGACTACCTTAGTAAGGCAATCATTTTTAGATCATTTAAGTAAGTCACTGGATGATCACCCAGATTGTTCTAAAAACCAAAGCGAACTAAATTATATGCTGCCCCAGGTAAAAGATTATGTTCTGAAATATCCTCTTGTGTTATAAATGAAAAATAATAGATTAAATACAAACAATGTAGATACACTTAGCAGTATTATAAATACAATTAAGACCAACAACATTGACTTTTCCGGCCCAAGTACTGATACTAGACCAACGGAGACTTCTAACCTAATCTTTCCAGATGTAAGATTAGGCAAAAAAGTCATACAGAATCTTTAGATCATTCAGAATTAAGTAAAAAAAATTGGAAAAGCTTGATATTGATAAAACAAAAAATGTTAATAAAAAAAAAAATTATTAAATCTTGTTGAGAATTGTTATGTAATTGTTAAATGCAACAGAGAGTTAAGTACTGTATAGGTTTATTTATTTTGAACTATTTATATACATTTAGTTAAACAATTTGTAAACTTTATAAATAATTATTAATCAATTTAATAACTAATATTTAATCTATTAACTACTAAATAATTTTAAAGTAACTACTAAATGATTTCTTTTATGCTGTTGAAAAAATTAAGAAAAAATGGAGAATAAATTGCCTTTATAAAAAAATAGACTTAACTAGAAATGGTCACTATCATCAGAGATTTTATTGAGGAGCCTAAGAAAATTTTGAAAAGGAGAATTAGTTTAGTTTCAGAACTTTTTTTTTACAAATTTTTGTTTGAAAACTTTAATTTTGTCATTTTTTGACAAAAATAAAGTTTTTTACTTTATACCTTAACATTATACCTAAACTGTTTTGTTTACTTGTTACCTATACTTGTTTAGTTTGTACCTATATTTTAGTTACTGTATACAAGAACTTTGTTACTAAATCTTTTTTTTATCATTTTTGTATATTTATTTTGTTTGCCTAAACATTGTTGTTTTTATTGATGTAGTGCTTACTTTAGTCCCTTTTTACTGGGTTGGGCCAAAGTCACCACAACACATGTGGCTACTTTTGGCCCACCATTTAACCCCCATCCCCCCCCCAAAAAAAAAGATACTTCAGGTGATTAATTTTCAAATGAGAGACAGATAGTACTTACTATCCTTTCTATACACTTCTAAAAGTAATTGGTGTTTGAGGAAATAACTTTTGTGGCTTTCATGCAATAGGCGTTAAGGTGCAAAATGTCCCAAAGCCACCCCATTATATTTAAAAAAAAATGCATTTGACTCATTTGGCTGATAATCAACTTGTGTTGACTAGATGACACCATATATAATATAATTATATAAATTATTAGTGTGACAATTTAGTCATGTGTTTGTTTTTCGTTTTTCTTACAGGTGAAGTATTGTTGATTGATATGAAAGATGAATGCAATATAAATGTAGATAATGATAAAAAAGGTAAAAATTTTCTATTTATATTAGTTTTATATAATTTAATATATTTAGCCAAAGTTGTTAACAAGACCAAAAGTAGCAAGGCCAAGCCAAAGCCATACATTACAAGGCCAAGGCCAAGACCAAGGCCAAAAGTTACAAGGCGAAGGACAAAACCAAGGCCAAGAGTTTTAAGGCCAAGGCCAAAACAATTAAGGCCAAGGCCAAAACAATCAAGGCCAAGGCCAAAATTTTCAAGGCCAAGACCAAGGCCAGGCCAAGGACTAACAACTCTATATTTAGCAAGCATAATTTTTTTTTTTTTTTAATTTTCCTTTTTTTTTTGGAAAAATAAATATTATTTAAAAAAATTCTGATTCACTCCCAACAAGGCTGCAAGCAACCATTATTAAGTTGGAAGTTACTAGAAAAAAGAATAGAGTTAAAGAGCAAGGAAATGGTTGACAGAAGACTTAAAAAGTTGAAGGTTGAATGAGTCAGGAAAACATGAAGATGAGAATTCCAAAGAGTTAAGGTGCAGGGAAAAAAACAAATAAAAGTTTTTAAAGCATGCAGAGACAGATACAGTAAAAGAATGAGACTTTGCTGAATGAGTCAAGAGTCAAGCAAGAATGAGTTTTAGTTGACGGAACTAGAGATGACGTTTTTGAACCTTGTCTAGAAGAGAAAGAGCATCATTAGAAGAATCAGTCCATATGGCATCAGTTTTCCATGCAGAGACAAATAAGAGATTTGTAGAGGTATAGAATGGAATCAGGAGAATGAAAATGGTGAGCGCAATAATGAGAAGCAACCTTAGCAGATGCTAGTTTAGCAATCTATTGTATATATGGTTTTCAAAGGTCAGTAGTAAAGGCTAATCCAAGAAAGAGTGAAGAAGAAGACTCAGTCAGAGGGTTGCCATTTAATAATATAGGGATCTATAAAAAAATATATACAGTGGCAGTCTGTGGCAATAAAATTAGGTGGGGTCTAGAGTAAAAAATGCTGAAGCAAAAGGAAAAAGAAGTAACATGCTATTATGTAATATTTTTGGTATCAGACAAACTATTTCAAGAAGTGTTTTTTTTTGTTTAGCTGAGGGGGTTATGCTTTAGCTTTTACAACAACATTATGTAATTATTTAAATTTGAATAACTTGCTTTACTAGTTTTTTGTTTGATTTATGCTTTATTATTATTATTATTATTATTATTATTATTTATATCCTTATTTTTTTATTTCAATTGATGTATATTTATTTCTATTAAATTCATAATAATAAGTTTTATTAAACATTTTTTAGTTACATTATATTATAACTATATTGACGTGGAAAAATTAACAGTTGTTTTTCTACCAACTCTGAAAGTAGGGCACATAAGTTTTTAAATGTCTTTTTAATTAAAAAAAGTTCAAGAAAAAAATTTTGTATTATAGTTTAGGTATATATGTCGAGGTAATTTTCACAAATTTCAATATTATTCTAGGGTTTTCAAAAAAGTTATGATTGTTTTACTATTTACAGTCAAATGATCATAACTTTTAATAATTAAAATCTATATTTTTCATAAAACAAACAAATTCCTGTTTAAATTATCTTCACAAATATGCTATATAATGATGTGTTTAAGCATTTTAAAACTAAAAACAACAAAAAATGACTTTAAATCCAAAAGATTCTTTGGATTACAGTTACAATAAAATGCGTTCTTAAAAAAATGTGACTTTCTTCAGTAAAAACTCTTTCAACATCTGCTTTCTCAACATCTTCACTTACAACAAAGCTGCAAGCAACCACTGTTAGAGTTGGAAATTACTGGAAGAGAAATAATGAAGTTTATAGAGCAACATAACAATTAACAGACAATTTAAAAGGTTGAAAATAATATAAATCAGGAAAACAAGATGAAGGGGGCAAATTCCAAAGGACTGACGTTTGAGAAAAAAAAACTAGGCGAATAAGATTTTTTGAAGCACTCTGGAACAGTCAGAGCAAAGGGATGAGATTTAACTATTTGACAAGTAACACGAGAATGAATTCTAGTAGATGGCACAAGAGAGACTAGCTCTTTAGAGCAGTACCCATTATAGTATTTATAGAAAAGAGGAAAAGAAGCAACATTACGAAGATGCCAATAGTTGGACTAGCCAATCCAACAATTGGCATCATTGTAATGAGACAGTCCAATTATGTTTACAATGTGTTTTTGTACCTTGTCTAAAAGAGAAAGGTCATCATTGGAAGATCCGCTCCTGATATGGCAACAGTATTTCATACAAGGAAAGATTTGAGATTTATAGAGATTAAGAATAGAATCTGGAGTAAGTGGCAAGCACTATAAAGAGATGCTAAATTAGCAATTGATATGATATACGGTTTCCAAGAAAGATCAGAAGTCAGAGTTAAATATAGAAGATGAAGGGTAGATGACTCATAGAGTACATTACCCCTCATAAATATAGGAAGATCTGGATTATTTTTGATATTGATTAGCTGTAAAAAATATTTTTCAGAGTTAAAGTTCGCCAGCCACTGAGAGCCCATGCTGTAACAGAAGTGAGATCTTTTTCAAGCTGAAATGTTCCCTCCTAGCAATCAGAGAGTGTTGGCTTCTTATCAAGACAAGAATAAATGGTAGTATCATCAGCGAACAATGCCTCCTTAGGTGGCATTGTTCGCTGATGATACTACATTAGAATTTCTATAAGATCGGTAATGTAAATTAAAAAAAGTATAGGGCCTAGGACACCTTGAGGAACCCTTGAAGTTGCATGAAATGTCTATTGAGGACAACTTTCATACTATGATTGGTAGGAAGGATTTAATAATTTTAAAGCGGTAAATGATGTAGTGCTTGCCTCATAAGAAAAAAATCCTGAATTTGATCCCCACTACATTCCTGTTAGTATCCCGCTCAACTTGCTTCTTCGCACAGCAGCTTTGTTTGTCAAGGTTTGAGTTTCAGAGTTATAAGAGGGTTGTAACCACAACTAAAGTAGCCTCCTTGACTGTTGTGGCCTTCATGGCCTTGGGGAGGTGAATTAATAAAAAAATAAAAAAACAGATGTTACCTGATATACCGTAGGAAGAAAGCTTATGAAGAAGACCAGCATGCCAAACTTTATCAAAGGCTTATAAATGTCAAGAGCAATAACCTTAACCTCTCCACATCTATCTAATGCAGGATAAAACTTATTGGTTATTACTGTTAAAAAATCAGCAGTAGAACAAGAAGACTGAAATCCATATTGATGATCGCTGAGTGTTTGTTAATTTAATTCACATAAACCATGCTTATGATTGCTCCATAAGAAGATTTATGGGGCAGTACTACTTTTCAACAGACTGGGAAACGAGACTCTGATAAGAACTTGTTAAATACTTTTGAAAGTATAGACGACAGCTCCAGAGAACACTTCTGCAAGACTATCACAGGTATGTTGTCCAAACCACAAGCTGGAGAAGAGTCTAAGCAGGAAATCAATTTCGATACAGAAGTTGGGGTGATATGAGCGTCAAGCAATGGATCAACCTGTTAGTCTGCTATATCAGGTATTATGCGACTAGTGGAATCAGAAGATAATATTGATGAGAAGTATTTAGCAAACAAATCAGCTTTGTCTTTTAGGTGAGGTAATCTGAACCATACTTTTCAGCAGAGAGGTGGAATAACAAATTTTCTCTTAATATAAATAATGTTAAGGATTTTTCAGAAGTCACAAGAGCCTAATTTTTGAATTAAAATACGAGAATTTGTGGCCTGAGAATAGCGGGTTTTGGTATTAGACAAAACCGTTTTACAATAATTTCTAACAATTGTAAATAGTAAGTGACCAGGGTTTATATTTGACTGGGGCGGGGTCAAATATAAAATATCAACAAAAATCTCTTTCAGCAAATTTTATACCATACTAGCAAAAAGCAACCCGTAATACAGGTTTTGGTCGGTCTGTTACATAATTATTTTATAGTGGCTGTTTTCCACAATTTAATGTTGCAAAACCTTAACTAATACCCTTTTCGAAAATCGCCTTTTGCTTGAAAAAATTAATCCATCTGTAAAGTCAACATAAAAAATATGAGGAGGTAAAATAATTTACCAACTACTACTTAACATTTACAATTACTACTTAACATCATATATACAACTATAAACAAATATGACTTAATAACACATATAAACACATTTTACAACTATTGAATGATAGATATATTTATCAAAAACTATGAAAAAAAATAAATAATGATAAATAAAGTTATACATACAAAATGTGCTAACAACCTTTAACAGTAAATTTTCGAAATGAAAATCTCAAGACTATAAATTAAGAACATTTAAAAATATAACAATATTTATGTTATATTTTTTTACCTACTATACCTTGAATAAGATGTTTATCAATTTTGAAAAACAAACTATTAAATGCTCTAGTTCTTGAAAATTTAACATGAGAGAAACATGGTTTTTGAGATATTTCTTTTGTCTATATTTTTAATTTCGCGTTACGTAATATATAGACGATCCCTAAAAGAAAATACTTGAAACTAAAAAGATTTTATTTATTAAAATAACCAATAACAACCAAGGGACAATATAAAGAATTATATCTTTAAATAGCAAATTATCAATCGCAGTATTAAAAAATACGCAAGAGCTCAGTAATTACATGAGTTTAATCTATTCTCTCTCTATACTAATTCTTATTTAAGTCTCATCTAAGAGAGAGAGAGGAAGTGTTTTAAAAACAGCACATTAGAAAAAGTAAAAAAGTCAATAAATAACAGTAACTGGTTTTATTATGCTACCAATAAACAAAATTATTTTTACTTTAACTAAAAGTTAATTTCCAGTATTTCTTAATTAAGTTCCAGCTTCTCTTTAACTGTTGACAAATGATTAATATTGTAAATTTCACACCATATTAAATTTACAAAATTAAAACCATGTTTCAACAGTTAGCAAAATAATCAAGTGATGACAAAGACAACTAAAAAAAATGAACACAATTATGTTTAAGAT